AAGGCCAATTAAAAGTTGGGCAGAAAAAATGTGTTATTGTTTAGACATTTTTATGATTGCAATGTGCAATTGTGTGTTTGTTCAAAAGAAGGTTTTCAATAGAACTGATTGTGTTTAATTTTAATACTTATAAGTTCTATTGTGAATCCGTCTGAGGGGAAAAGGCTTGGGGTGTTTTTAACGTCACTAAATCTGCTCTCGGCCTTATTTTATATAAATAAGAAAATAATGGATTGGATTAGATTAGATTCAACTTTATTATTTAGAATGGTAAGGAAGCCATGAGTATGTACAGTATTTGGTGATTGAGCTGTTTCAGTGCTGTGGAGAGAGCAGAAACCAGATTGAAATTGTCAACATACAGTAGTATGGGTAAGAAGATGGGTGTGAAGTTGAGAGGCAATAGTTTTTTTTAAGAACTTCAAAAATCAAGGATAAGTTAGAAATAGGGCGGCGTTTGTTGAAGTCGTCAGGGTCCAGGCCTGATTTTAGGAGTTACAGAGGCCGTTGTTGTCACGGGGTGAGATGAATGATGACTCAAATGCAGGAATGCCAAAATAATGATTTAACCAAATAAAATAACCAGGAAGTAAGTAAGTAATCTTTATTTATATACCGCCTTTCACAGACCAGAGTCTCAAAGCGGTTTACAATTGTTATTTTTTTGGGCATTTGTCCTCTCACTTCACACAGAGATGGGAGCGGGGTCGCCAATACAGGAGGCGCATGCCAGACCTATTGTACATATTTTTAGCGGTAGGGGAAACCGGAGTACCCGGAGGAAACCTACACAGACACGATGAGAACATGCAAACTCCACTCAGAAAGGCCCTGTTCCGACCGGGATTCAAACCCAGGACCCACTTGCTGAGAGGCGAGAGTGCTATCCACTCAGCCACCGTGCCGCCCACGGCACAGGCCAGAACAGACGGGGTGAGTTGGGTGAGACAGAGCCATAGACACACAGAGACACAGGTGAAACACATCAGGGCGGGGCAGACCATCAAGACAGGGGAACAAGACAGAAAGTATAACTTGAACCAAACCACAGAGAACTTATTTCAAAATAAAACCAACATACAAAAATAAAATCCACACCATGACAGTTTGAGATTAAACAAGTAAGTAATGTTTATATAGCACATTTTACAGTCCAAGGTCACCCAAAGCGCTTTACAATGTTCAGAGTTCAGATATTGTTCCAATCATTCCACACACGGTGATGACAGAAGCAAGTCGCCAAACACACTGGCGCATCAGACCCCAATCAACACCATCCATTCACTCTCTTATTTACATTCATGCCTATTGTGCATGTTTTTAGTGGTAGGGGAAACCTACGCAGACACGGGGAGAACATGCAAACTCCACTCAGAAAGGCCCTGTTCCGACCAGGATTTGAACCCTGGACCTTCTTGCTGAGAAGCGAGAGTGCTATCCACTCAGCCACCGTGCCAAGTGAGGAGTGAATGATGTTAGTGTTAAGAGAAGGCAGGATTTGACCAGAGCTGTAGAGATATGATCTAGCTGACAGGTAAGGTTAGGAGTTAAAAATGATGGCAGATATATCTTGGACAGATGGGAGGGAGAAGTGTGAAAATGCTGAGAGGATATGGTTGATGGGGACAGTGGTGTCTGCTCCAGAAACTGCAGCGCTGCTTTGAAGATGTTGGGGAATGGATGTGACCTTGGAAATGAAGAAAGGTAGTAGAGGTTTGGATAATATGAATGGTTCGTCAGTGAGTCTGGGGGTTTGGTTATGTTGGGGAGAAATAAGAGGAGGGAGAAAAGTAGTATGTGGTTATTGTACATGTCGTTGTGTATTGTCAGTCCAGTTTTTGTTATTTCCAGTTGCTATCCTTTGGCTTTGAGTTTTCGGAGTGCAGAACGGGTAAAGGAACATGAATGTAAAAAACGGAGTGGAGGTGGTTGTTATAGAGGCAGACCAAGTCATCAGGATCAGTGCAGGAGAGATTAGTGATGTCAGAGCTAAAAGAGTCAGTATTCGTGTTTTTGGTTTTGCGGAATGAGATGCTAAAGTGAGTTTGGACAGATACAGATTAGATTGACTGTGAAAGTAATGAGTAAATGGTTAGAGAATGGAAATGAATGGAGCTGGCAGTCTGAGAGGCTTACACCAGAGCAGCATAATAGTAGTACCCAATGTGTCCTTTGCAGTGGGTTAGGAATAGCCTGGTCGTACCACACCATAGTACTTATTACATATCGTACTAAGGTCTGGCGGTGCTCCATTGAGCTTCGTTAACAGGTGGGAGGGTTTAACTCCTTTTGCAGATTGAAACAATTGGATCTGAGTTTACCGTGACGTATGTAGTGCGCCCTAGTCTGTTGTTAGCATTTAGCATTTAGCCTAGCCATCTCCTTTGCCGATAACGGAGCCCGTGGGGAGTAGCCCCACAATTTTTTCCAGCGATTACATTTGCTAAACATTACCCTTGCTCCGGCTTCAATTTCTTGATATTATATATATTATATATATGTGGGCTTGTTCACACTAAAGGGCACAAAAGTGTGACAAAAGGCCAAAAATTAGATTTTAATAATCAGAAGATATTTTATGTTTTTCATGTTTCCAAACACCTCCTCTGTCCTTTAGAAGTTGCTAGAACATAACTGTTTTATACATTAGACAAGTTTCCTATAGCGGCCCTGTTTATTTTATCTAACGGACGTGATGATTTGACGGAATGAGCTTTGCGGAAGTTTGATAGGTATTTTCAGATGTCCACAATTGATTCAGAGATTCTATTTTTTTACACAGAGTAGAAACAAAGTGATACTTTCATTTAGTCAACCAATTAAATGTGAAACCAGACAAGATTTTTTTCTTTCTCAAGTTTAAATGTTAGAGAAAAGAGGACGGAAACCATCATGTCCGTTATACATTTTTCAGGGGTCATTTAATTAATTAATTATTTTTTATTTTTTAACGATTCCTTTTCATATCAAGTTATTTCCTGATGTTGTGTTAACCATGTAAATCTTGTGGGATTTCATCTGCCGCTTTTTCAGACTGAGGACATTTTATTTTCTATGTAACTGGCGTCACAGTAGAATGGTCAAAAAAGAGGCTGATTTTGTCGTTTAAAATGTCACCAAAAATATATTTGACAATCTTTCCTTTTGATTTTATCCACACTATCTCTTTGATGTGTCTGTGTTTGAAATCTTTTTTCCAATCTATGATAGTAATTTTAGTTTTTAAGTTATAACCTTTTAAAGTCGAGATACTTCAATTGACACTTAACCCTTTAAGCGCCAAAGTCGCAATATTGCGACAAGCAACATTGCTCACTTAAACAGGCTGTATGTAAAAATGTGGTGCAGAATCTTGTTAATACTTTTCACCAGGGGTTAGTGGACATGTGTGCCTGTAATATGAGCAGCATTTGTGGGTGTGGTTATATTGAAAGTTTTAGAGTAAATTGAGTTCGTAAAACACCTGCGGCGCAGCGGCGCGGAGACGAAGCAGCAGCGGTAGAGCTGAGAGGAGCGAGAGCAGAGCAGAGGGAGAGAGGGTTTTTTATTTTACTCACAAGGTCTTCAGTACCAGAGAAGTACTTGGTCTGGTACTGGCTCACTCAGATTCAGAGGAGGAAGACACGCAGGTGTCCAGTGAAGCAGACACGGACATTATTAGTGACGGGGAGACCGCGCTCCATAGTCCACAATCAGCCCCTGTGCAGCGGCTGCTTGTCCTCCGTGTGGCCGCGGTAGAAGCATTCTGTGAACGCCAAGCAGGGTTCGTGGTGGAGGGGACAGGGGGATCATAACACCGGGCATGTGGGAGAAAGTAGCGGGGGTAGACATCCACGGGGAACACGGGAGACGCGGGAGAAGTCGCGGGAGAGCCGCGGGAAAAAAACACATCGCTAATCGCGTTCACTGCCTTTACCAGCAGCGATGATGAGGATGAAGGCAGTTCTTGAGAGAAAATAATCCACAAAAGTGGATCAGAAGTGTTGAAGAGCCTGTTGTATGTTGTTGAGACGATCTGACAAGTTCTGAGCCCATTCATTTCATCTCTCTGTTTCTAAACGGTAAATCCTGGAGCCTCATTTCCACTGAGAAAAATAGTAAGCCCACTATTTCTCTGAAAGGGAAATATTGAAACCAATCTCAAGATTTCATGACTGTAAACTATATAGAGTGCTGTCTTGATCACTGAAGGTCTTTGAAAATAATACAATTCCATATGGCCGCGAACCAGTGCTAAAACATTAACTATAATCTGGATCAGGGAATTTATTTCTATCCCAAATTAATTTCATACTAAATATATTTCACACTGACTGTTTATAGTATTCCCTGATCTCAAATACCTCCCAAGCTACAGCTTTTTGAAGTCTTTATACAATAATTAACATTTTCCAAAATGGCCGCCACCTTGATGACGTCACAATATGCAAATTAGATGACGAATCAACTTCCATCCTAAAGTTTGGTTCAAACTGAAGATATTTCTAATTTACAGTATGCCTTTATCTCAAACCATTTTAAAGTTATAGCCTTTTGAAATCTTGAAATCAAAATTGTATATTTTCTTGAAAAAACTCTGGCGCCTAAAGGGTTAACTGTGAACACACTCATATATATATATATATATATATATAAATATATATATATATATATATATATATATTTATATATATAATGTATGTATGTGTATGTGTGTGTGTATATATAAGCCTACTATATGTATATAAGTAATAATGCACACACCATCTTTTTTATTTGTTGGTAGCCCCTCTCAATAAATATGAGTGATGAAAATGAATAATGCAGTATGTTTTCTTCCCTGAGAACAGCCTTGGTTTTTTTGTGTTTGGTTTGTTTACATTTAGATTGCGTCTTACATAAATATTCCAGTTATTAACATTTGTTTGGTGAATTCGTCCCTGTCAAAGTGGACAATGGTTGATGTAATGGTAAAACTGTCTGGTATGGTAAATGGTAAAACACTGTCATCTCTGTTGTAGGGTTTGGTGAAGTTTGAAATACAGAGCGTTTAGACATAAGGGTTAGTGTGGATGAAGCTTTAAAGCGATAGTCTGGAACTCTAAATTAATCACAAATTTTAAGAATTGTATTAAATTGACCTCCTGGCCTTAAATGTTGATATAAAATAAGTCATTTTATGAATTCTAATATAATGGGTAAATCCCGCCTTCCCTTCTCTTAGCTATAGCTCAAAATCCACGATGCCGTCCAGTTTAACCAATCAAGTGATGCCAAGGGCTGCCAATCATCGGCACTCATGCTCGTAGCTACGCGCATGCTCAGTTGTTTGTTTTCATGGAGCCTCCATAATCAAGCCTCTATTAGGCTCTGGAACTACATGAAAACTGAACAAATAGTTCTGAACATCCGCGCTGAGTTACCCATTTATATACTTAACCTATATCCATAATCAGATCCTCTGCAGATTGTGTCCTATAATGTTCAATTCATGATAATAGCTACTTCCGGGTTTACCGCAATAGTTTTTTTTTGCATTAAAACATTATTTTTACAATCCTATACAATTTATTCTTGTACAGCCCCAAGTCACAACAGAAGTCATCTCAGAGGACTTAACAAAATCATTGAAATCACCAACACAGGTCAGAGAATCAACAGTTAAAACAAATAAAATACATAAAAAATATAAAGCACACACAGAAGAAAAGGTCCATACATGTTGTAGAAGTGTCCTGATCATCTCCAATCCTTTCTGTTGGACACTAACTGTCCAACAAGACCCTCCTGCATCGGCAAGGAAAAACGTTGACAAAAAATTCTGAAAACCTCCTTGCATGTGTATTAATAATGTATATGTATAATTTGTTCTCCGATTTACATTTAAATGTGTTGATTGATTGTTACGGAAACTTAGGCGTAGACCAATCATAAAGGAAGGGGGAGGGAGCTTGGGTCGTTTTTTTTTTCAAATCATGTACCAAACTCCAGACAATCACTTTAAAGGAACATGGATATAAGCTGTTGCATCATGGGTGTCTCGTGCTTTAGGAACATTTCATATTATAATCACTGTATGGGGAAGTAGACAAAGGACTTTGGTAAAAGAACAGACATGACGAGGGACATCCGGGGTTTGTGGTCTGCTCAGTGTCCGAGTTATAGACGTGTCTTTGTCCGAGTGGAGGATGGCACACTCCCTGATGTAAATATGCGGAACTGTTCTCTGAGTGGAAGCATGAGAGTGTCTTTGAGCCTCAGGGAGTACGAGATGTTGGTGCTAAAGAGATCCTTTATTTGTCCCACAGTGGGGAAATGTCGGTGTTGCATCACAAGTTATAGAACAGTAGGAAAGAGGAGCACACAGCACACGTTAAGTGAACAATAGCTGTACTAATTAAAATAAAACAAAATCTCTAACTCTAGCATCAATAATAAGTATGAAATCTGTCTTGAAAGTAATAATAGATGCAAAAGTTTAACATTTGGCAAAATAAGAGGCAAGTGTAAAGTACTGTGTATTCTAGTGCAAGTGAAGTGTTTTTATATGTTAGCAGCAGTATGTTTACATCTGTACATTAGCAGCAGTATGTTTACATCTTTACATGAGCAGCTGTATAGTGCACATTCTGGTATAGAATAAGGATATTGCAACGATGCATGACATGTGGAATCAGGTCGGCAGTGTTCATTAGTCCTTATTGTTTGTTGTACAGTCTGACAGCAGCAGGAAGGAAAGAGCTGCCTAATCTCTCCTTCACACATCGAGGATTAATAAGTCTGTCACTGAAGCTTCTCTCCAGAGCAGACAGAGTGTCCTGCAGGGGGTGAAAGTCATGGTCCAGCATAGATGTCAGTTTGTCCAGGACCCTCCTGTCCCCCACCTTCTGCACTTCGTCTAGGGAACAGCCCACAACAGAGCTGGACTTCCTGATGACCTTGTCCAGCTTCTTCCTGTCCCTCTTTGTGATGCTGCTGCTCCAGCAGACCACACCGTACAAGATGGCTGATGCCACCACAGAGTCATAGAAGGTCTTTAGGAGTGGCCCCTGAAATCCAAAAGACCTGAGCCTCCTTAGCAGGTAGAGTCGGCTCTGGCCCTTCTTTAAGAGGGCGTCTGTGTTATGAGTCCAGTCCAGTTTGTGGTTCAGATGAACACGCAGGTACTTGTAAGAGTCCACTCTCTTAATGTCCTTTCCCTGGATGTTCACTGGGGCTGGCGCTGTAGAGTGACGTTTGCTGAAATCCACCACCATCTCCTTGGTCTTTCTAGCGTTGATGAGGAGGTGGTTCCGCTACACAACCAGTCCACAAAGTCTCGTATAACTCCTCTTTACTCTGTGTCATCGTCCTCGGAGCTGAGTCCGATGATGGCAGAGTCGTCAGAGAACTTCTGGAGGACACAGCCGTCCGTGTTGTGTCTGAAGTCCGCAGTGTAGAGGGTGAAGAGGAACGGTGCGAGGACTGTCCCCTGGGGGGGCCCCACACTGCAGGTCAGGACCTCAGACATAAAGTCCCTGGTTCTCACAAACTGGGGTCTACCCACCTCCGGAATAGGTTTTGGTTTGAATCCTGAGATGGTCTTTCGTTTGTCCCAAACACTTTTGACGTTTAGTCTGCTTTGCTGCTCTTCCATTTTGCCCCTGGATCGAGCTTTGGCCTCCCTCACTGATGTTCTCAGATGTCTCTGTACATCTCTCAGCTCCTCTTTGTTCCCAGATTGAAAAGCGCGCTTCTTTTCCTTCAGCAGAGCCTTTACGTTGGCCTTAATCCACGGCTTGTTGTTGGCAAAACACCGCATTTTCCTGGTCACCGAAGTGTTCTCAAAGCTGAAGTTTATGTATCCGGTGATGCACTTCGTCATGCCATTAATGTCCTGCACATGGGGGTCGCAGAGCTCGTCCCAGAGGGTCCTTTCAAAACAATCTCGAAGGGCCTCAACAGTGTCTGTATTCCTTGTACGTATCAAGCGCCTCACCACGGGCTGCCTGTACACCAGTGGTTTGTACACAGGCCGGAGGTACAGAATATTATGATCTGCTCTGCCTAGCTGGGGGAGGGCAGCCAATGTGTATGCGTCCTTGTCATTGCTGAAGAACAGATCCAGTACTTTTTTACTTTGTCTCCTCTAGTGGGACGGGAGACATATTGTGTGAACAGTGGCAGTGTAGAAGCCGGGAAAGCGTGAATGAAGTCCCCAGTAATTATAAATACGGCCTGAGGGTGCTGCGTCTGCAGGTCACCGACAGTGGACAGCGGAGCATCGCATGCACTGTCTGCTTTTCCAGATGGGACTTCGACAGCTACTGTATAAGAATAACATGCCCAAACTCCCGCGGCAGATAGTATGGCTGCACACCAATGGCAAGAAGTTCAATGTCTCACACACATGGCCTTTTACAGTGCAGTGCTCCGGCTTGCCGTAGCTGTTGTTTACAAACACGGCTAGCCCTTCACCTCTCGTCTTTCCACTGTCCGCGGTGCGGTCTGCTCGGATGGTGTGGAATCCATCCAGAGCGAATGCAGAGTCTGAAATGTCTGTGTGTAGCCATGTTTCTGTAAATACCTGGAAGGTGGCATCGCGGTACTCCCGCTGGTAGTGCGTCAGTGCCGCTAGCTCGTCAGTCTTATTGGAGAGAGACCTCATATTCCCAGTGATCACGGCAGGCATTGCGGGTCTGGATCTCTTTCGCCCTCGTACCTTCCATCCCGCGCGGCAGCCTCTGGGTATTTTCTGTAAAATCTTCGCAGGAATAGTGTGTTTTCCCCCGGAGAGACCTTCGCTCTCTGCCAGCAACTGTTCCCGGTTGTAAACAATAGGAGCACACCGGCACATCTCCGTTCACCGGTATTATCCACGTTAATAATACGTGATGAGGAAAACGGTGGAACTGACTTGACTTAGGGTTTGGAGTATGAGCGATACTATGATACCGAGTTTGTTGCACTAAACTGTGAATTTATAGAAAACCCATGGATTTCAAAAGAAAAAAAGTTGAGGATGACAAGGCACTCTAAAATCTTGACTGAGGGAGCTGTTTGTGTCACATTGAGGTCTATGGTGAATTAAGTCTTCTGGAGTGTAGTCAACCTCCATGTGGGGCCCGGCTTATGCAATAAAACCCTCCACATGATATAATACATCTCTGCTTTTCACACCAGTGCCAAGAAATAATCCGTATTATAGTGGACTTCTTATTAGTTAGTGGAACTCCCCAGTTCCCTTTGGCTGTGGTCAGACTGAAACCAAGTCTGTAAGTGGCTCTACATGAATTTCACATCTGCAGTGATGATCAAATACAGTACATCTGTAATCCATTTGGTAGGTAAATAAGTCATACATTTTAATCAACAGATCGGATCCACAAGAACATACTAAACCCGGACCTATCCTCACTGTGGGGAAAATTCATTTTATTTCTACTTAAAATTGTGAGTGGTTTGTTTACTGTTTTAATGCAGCTTGCAATATTATGTAGTATGAGCATGGTCAACCCGAGCCCATATCACAGAACAAAGAGACGGTTCAACCCCTGGATCTACAATAAAATCTGGGTAGGGTATTACTAGCTAATAGCTGTCCCACCCATGGGCACAGGGGGCGCTCGTTGTACTGTAGACTAAAATCATGTGGGCTACCCGGAAAAATGTCCCATAGAACTCAATGTAAACTAAAACAGCTCGACCTCAGGTGACAGAGAACCTACAGCTTGCATAAAGGTCGGATTTCGAGGGAATTTTAGGGTCCCTTGTCTTCCTGAAATTTTTTTTCTTCTTAAATCCTTCAGTTTTCTTTAAATCCACACTTTACTGCCAAAAACTCTGCTCCTTTTCTTCCCGATCTGGCTTTGCTCTACCGCTACTCTGATCAGCAGCTCTGATTGGTCAAAGCGCGGCCGAGCCCCTCTGTGCACGTGCATGAGAGCCACACATGCCTTTTTGGTGCAACGCATCATGGGAGCTCGCCCACAGGGCAGAACCGGGAGGACCAGACAATGCCCAAATATAGGCAAGTTCCGCTAATCTCTCGGCCCCCGT